AAATCTGACTCTGTTGCCCATGCTGGAGTGGTGTGATCTCGGCTCACTTCAGCCTCCACCTCCCAGGTTTAAGCAAATCTCTCACCTCAGCCTGCCTAGTAGCTGGGATTACAGGGACATGCCACCACGCCTAGCTAATTTTTGCATTTTTAGTAGAAACCAGGTTTTACCATGTTAGCCAGGCTGGTCTCAAACTCCTGACCTCAGGTGATCCACCCGCCTCAGCCTCCCAAAGTGCAGGTATTATAGGCATGAGCCACCACGCCCGGCCTCATCTGTTACTTTCTTAATGTTTAATAGAGAAAAGGGACAAAGCAGTTCTAACTAGGAGTTGATAGGATAGAGAAGTTCTTAAATCAGATGTTTTAATGTCTTAAATGTATATATAATATCATGTGTTCAAATCTAATTATAAATATGTTCAAAGTTAAAAATAAATCGTTTTTAAAAATTAACTTGTTTCCTCCATAACTGTGATCCACGATTTTTCTCTAATGTAAAAAGCATTAACAAAATTGTCTATTTTGCTACTCTTTGTAACTTAGGTATTCTGCAAGTCTTATTAATGTGACTTAAGTTTTATTTCTAAAACAGTTTTGTTTTTACATCCTAATTTCTCAGTGATCCACTCTAGAACAAGGAATAAAACTTGGGTTTCAGGTGAACAGAAAAAATTATAAGACTTTAACCTTTTCTTTTTTGAATCCTTGGTAAAACTGCTATTGTCTATTCTTATTTAGAACACCCATTATATTGATAGATATGTACACGCTTTTTTTTATAAACTATAAATAATATCCAGCCTAAATGAACAAAACATGAAGCTTGAGTATGTGTGTATATTATCTCCCCAAAAGTGACAAATTAATGATTACAAAGTCAACATATACTGTATCACAAGGGAAAAATGGTAAAAATGTGTGTTATTTATTCAGCAGTCATTTAATGAGAGCCTACTGCACATACAGAGCATTGCCAACTCTATGAGTGATGCAAACAGTGAACACAATACAAGTCAATATTGGGTGTTCAAAGAGTTATACAAATCAGGAGCCATGAGAGTTGAAAGGAAAAACAGATCACTTCTATTTGGGATAAAGTTGATGGCACTGAATCAATTTTTATGGTTTACAAACCACGTATTTCAGGAATCAGCTAGGAAAAGAAGAGATATTAAATAAGCCGGCCGGGCGCGGTGGCTCACGCCTGTAATCCCAGTACTTTGGGAGGCC